CCCACACTGTGTGTATATGTTTATATGGGAAGGTAGGAAGAAGAAGAAGAAAAAGGAGGAGGAGGAGGAGACTGGATTTATACCTGCCCTTCACTTGGAGTCTCAGAGCGGCTTACAAACTCCTTCCCCTCCCCCTCCCCACAACAGACACCCTAGGAGGGAGGTGGTGACAGAACAGCTCTGACAGAAGAAGAAGAAGAGATTGGATTCATACCCTGCCCTTCACTACCCAAAGGTGTCTCAGAGCGGCTTACAAACTCCTTTCCCTTCCCCTCCCCACAACAGACACCCTGTGAGATAGGTGGGGCTGAGAGAACTCTGACACAAACTGCTCTTTTTCAAGAACAGCTCTGACAGAACTACGGCTTGCCCACGGTCATCCAGCCAGGTGCAAGTGGAGGAATGGGGAATCAAACCCGGTTCTCCCAGATTAGAGTCCGCGCACTTAAGCACCACACCAAATGGGCTCTCAGAAGGCCCTAAGAGAACACGGGAGCCCCTTGTTACCTTTTGTAGCCCCACCTATTCATCCCCCCTCTGCCTGATACAAGGTACTTGTGATCAGGGGTGCAAGCGGACTGGCAATGAACCAGACAGGGAGCCCCTTGTTACTTTCTGTAGCCCCATCTATTCATCCTCCCTCTGCCTGATACAAGGTACTTGTGATCAGGGGTGCAAGCGGACTGGCAATGAACCAGACAGGATGGGAGGGGAGGACGGCTGGATAGGAACTGGGGGGGAAATATGCACTGACTTCCCAGTTCCCCTACAGCCCACCGTGAATCGAGCATGTGCATTTAACGGGGGGGGGGGGGGGGGAAGGATTATATGCAGACCTCTTGGTACGGGTGCCCCACAGCAGGCTGGTTTGTGCCCATTTTTTCACAGGAAACCCAGCATACAAAGAAACAGAACTTCAGGTCAGGCAATGTTTCATGATCGCTTAACGTAGTCTAGAAGTCTACTACGTCATTAATACTTTCCCTTGGTATCTGGAGAATAATATCCGATCAAATTGGTGGCAAATTAGGCAAAAGCACTGGGGTTGCCCGCTCTGGGTTGGGAAATTCCTGGAGATTTTGGGGGTGGGGCCTGGGGAGGCGGGACCTCAGCGGGGCACGATGCCATGGAGGCCGACTCCCAAAGCGGCCGTTGTCTCCAGGGGAACGGATCTCTGTTGGCTGGAGACCGGTTGTGACTCCGGGAGATCTCCAGTCACCCCCTGGGGGCTGAAGCCAAAAAGTGAGAGATCACGGGAGGAAGTGGAAATCCAAAAACAACTTCCGTGACAAAAATAACGAAGAGTCAGTAAAGATAAGTTGCCAAATCATTTACCGTCGTGTAAGAAAATTCTCTTCTAATTATCGCTCACACGCCAACGAATGCTGCGCCATGTAAACAACCCGTTTCACGATAATCGCTTTATCTGAGCGTATCGCGATCACAATTCTTATCAGTTTCTACTTATCGACTCTCGAAGGAAACATCCCATGTTGAGTCTCTGATCACAGAACCCCTCAAGGCCTTCACAATGTTGTTGTTGGATTTCCACCACCGGGAGGCTGGCAACCCTAAAAAAGCACACGTTATAGCAACTTACGAAATAACGAACGGCCTTATGGAACATAACCACTCTATTCAGGGCCAGGAGAGATGTGAACACTGGAATTTTGGGGCTTACAGGGTATGATTTCAGTTAACACGCTCAGTTTTTTTTTTAAAAAAACTCCGAATTATCAGTAAAGCTAGCTAACAGTTGATACGGTGGAATACCTTGAATGTCATCAGTGCTGCCTCTTCTGAGCAGGATTGCAGTGGCAGCCACCTTCTGAGGGAGCACCAATGTTTGGCTGGACTCAACATACAGGCTGCAAACAGATTGGGACAGACATGGTATGCTGCGAAGAACTGCCCCCATGCTTTGTACTAGAGAAGACCATGAGATCCTAGCTTACAGGAGAAGTTAAAAGTAGCTGATCAGGCACATTTTATGACACATGAAGCAACTGAATTTCTCTCGCAAGATGTTTAAACACATCATTTTCTACAAGATACGGAAATATCAAAGCTATTACCAACCATACATTCCCAGTTTGCCCCGCATTGAAGATCAGTGTCCACAACTATTTTTCAAGAACTGATTTCAAAACCACAGAGTTTAGTTCAATTAGACATTTTTTTTTTTTTGGGGGGGGGGAGAACACCTGAAGCTCAGTTGTCCATTGGATGCTGATTCCTAAATGTTACAAGACACTTTTAATATTAAAACATTCATTCACAGACATTTAAGGCAGCTGGTCAGAGATAAAATCGCTGATTTTCATTTTTTATAAAAAGTGAACATCTAATGAAAATGGGTTTGCATTATGTACAACTGATCACTTAAAAACTGAAGGTCACGTCGCACTAGAAAGGGCACGCCAACAGGAAGTCGAAAGATGGGAAGTTTACTACGAGCAAACAGAACCGCCTGCCGTTTCCTTTAATTCCAACTGTTCCCACCGGACGTGCCCTAGCTACAACCTGAATACTTTACCCTGCAAGGCTGTATTTGAGGCTCGGAAAGCCAAAAACAGAGCCGGGAGGGGGAAAAATACCGCTCAGAGAACACAGCTTTGGCAGTAGATTTATTTTGCTATTCTGAATCAAAATAGGAAACGTGGAGAACCCTTTGAACGAAGGTGTGAGCTTAATGGACTAACTGGAATCCATACGTAATTTTTTTTGAAAAAAGAAAGTACTACTTATCGGTATTTTCCATGTTGCCAGATCCCCAGCGAAACGGAACATACTGTACGAAAATAACCACATCTGGTGGGCGAATGAGATGGCGACAGGTTAGAAACGGGTGATTGTTCTGGGACAAATAAGACCACTCTGCTTATAGAGTTCCCTCTCTGCAAGAGCTCTGCGAACACTGAGCGAAATCGGGTAGCGATTTCGTTATCGACTAGGCCAATGATAAAAGCTGCTTCCTGCCCAGGGAGCTGGCCTGCCCTCCTCGTGAACAGACGGGGTAAAAGCTGCTTTTCAAGATTCTTTCGGTGGAGGACAATACATTTGTTTTGGCTCCTCATCATTCCCACTGGCCGTACCCCGGGGGGGAAAGGCAAGCGACAAGAAGCCACTTCAGCAGTAATTGGACAGTTTTCTGGGTTTCAGCACCTAACGTTTCTTGGACAATTCCTGTCCGATATGGCTAAATTTGAGCAACTGCAGATTTCGGCAGGTGCAAAGGGAAGAAGGGAGGCCTGGAGGGGGGCAGAGAAAGGGGAGGCAGAAGATGGTCTCATTTTAAAGGGGATGCTGAGTGTGCCTCTTCTTCCGTACCCTCTTTGGACCACACGAAGCTCAGAGGCATGTCTTTGGCATCACGAGTTGCCAAAGACGACACCGCGTATTCTTAACCCTGAATGAACCGGGGTGAGAAGCAGCGCCCAAACAGGCCAGTTAAGAAATCTCAGGTGAAAGCTCTTTGATCCCGAAACTAAAGTGGGGGTCCTCGACACATTACATCTGAGTGCAACGCTGCCCACCAATGTTCCCTCCAAGCTATGGAGTCTTGTGAGCAAAAATTCTACTTTGTGAGCTGCTGGCATTAAAGATGCGAGTGAGCAATTTGGCTACTGCTCTGGAGGTTGCTCTGGAGGCATCTTTCCTGAGCGAAGACAAAAATGTGCGAGCTAGAGGCTTAAAAACTGTGAGCTAGCTCACACTAACTCAGCTTAGAGGGAACACTGGTGCCTGTCAGCACCTTTTCTAGTACCCGCTAAGCAGGTAGGGCTTTTGCCCAGCAAGGCTTATTACTGACTATTGGGCGTTTGAGTGGCTGTGCAGATTTTTTAAAGTTGCTTTGGTAGCGGCTGCCACCACAGCACAAAGGTATGCCCTGTGTCCAGTGACAGCTGAGCTTCAGTCGCAAACGTTTTGTGGCTGGCTCCGTCTCCTGTGGGAGCCATTTTGTTGCCGCACCTACCCTGCCATGTTAGAATTCCACATGTGCCCGCAGGCTCAGAAAAGGCTGGAGACCCCTGAACTACACAGATACAGAAAACTACCATCCCCATGATTCCCAAGTCCCTCAGATAAGAAGTGGCTGAATCTTACATTCTTTGTTGCTAACAAATGTTTATCAATGAGAAGTTTTCAGTTATGGTTCCTGGTATAGGCACGGGGGAGGGAGCCTGGAACCACAAAAATATCGAGACCGGGGTGCACAACCCAAATTTAGAAGGAGGAAAATCTGCAGGTCGTATTTGACTGAGCTACCTGATACCATAATTAGTGTTTCATGCATTGCCCGTGTTGTGCAGCTTACACAAGTTTCAGTAGCGCAGGCACTGCGGCAAAGAATGGGGTAACAGTCTGGGTTTGCCTCTGTGTGGTGAACCTTCAAGAGCAGCAGAACAGGAAAGGAAGGAGACAATAAAAGGGAAACCGTCTACTGGGCACGCCCCTTCAATCTGAACAGGAGTAGTAGGAAGAGCACACACCGGCGCTCTTGTGTTTTCTCAAGAGATGTGAAGGCTCAGAGAGGGAGAGACAAGGGGCAAGAAAAGGAAGCAAATCCAGCAAAAGCCCTGCTTCTCTCATACAGAACATCCTTAGAATTGTCCAGTGGGAAAGCTGAAAATCTGAGAAAAACCAAAATTATATTTTATGCAGTATTTTCTCACAGAACAGGTGGAGGGGGATGGGAGACACTAAATGACATTTTAAAATACTGTCAAACCTCACTCGCTGCAAACCTCCCCGAATCGAGGTACAGGAGGTGCTAAAAGCAATGCTAAGCAAACCCCTTGAGACTTAACGGTGGAAAAAGGACTCCAAGTCTGCAGAATACGCAACATTTGCTTGGTGCAGACAAGGGCTCTTTTTGTAGCAGGAACTCCTTTGCATATTAGGCCACACCCCCTAATGTAGCCAATCGTCCAGGAGCTTACAGAGCTCTTCTTACTGGGGCTACTGTAAGCTCTTGGAGGATTGGCTACATTAGGGGTGTGTCGCTTAATATGCAAATGAGTACCTGCTACAAAAAGAGGGCCTTGGTGTGACACTCCCCCGCCTCCTCTTGGTCCTCTCTTGCCCCTTCATTCTCTGCAGATATGAGACTTGGGTCCTGCTCCTAGGCGTGGTGTCCTCAGAAGCAAGTCTCACTGTCTATGCCACCTTTCTGCCTGAACATGGGCTTCCAAGGCATCCCACAATGAGTTTAATTATGATCACACACACCCCACGTAAAAGTGACTTATGAAGGCACTGGGGACAGGCAATGGTGTAAAACACCCTCTCCCCAATTCTCTTGCTCTTTAAGGGTTCCACAATGGCTGTGAGGGGAAGACCCCTCCAAAGAGTGCCCCTCCCCCAGCAACCAGGGCTGTGTAGCACCAGGTATTCGTCCCTCAGAGTGACCTCAGTGGGGTACACTCCAAATGGTGTACAGGACCACAGCCTGTGTGCCTCTGTTGATTCACCCCAAGATTGCATTAGCCTTTTTTGTCGCCACATCACACTGGCTGCTCATATTTAGTGCATTAGTCATATCCAACAGCCAGTTCTTAATTACAGTACATGTTTATTTTGTGATCACTAAAACTAAAGCATTTCTTCTGTTTCTGCATGATAACACTTACGTGAAACCTTGATTATAAAATCCGCCTTTGTCGAGTGTTTCAAATTTCAACTCGCAATACTTTGGGATTTGCAGCTCCATCTCCACTGCTAGATACATTTGTAGTTATTACTTAATAAAACTAAGGCTTTGAAATTTCATGACTACCAAAATACATTTTTCAGTGCTAACTTGACTCGTTTTAGAAACGTGAACAAAAATATAGTTCAATTTCCCCCCAAATTTTGCTTTCCCATGGTTGCGAACTGTCACATCTCAAGCGATTTCCTACACTCCTTTCGACAGGGCTTGGGCTCACGTTTCTGAAAGCTCAACGGACATCTTGAATACTTGGATACTCCTCTGTTTTGAAAGGAAAGGATTTGTGAATGAGAAATAAACCGATTTTCTTCAATCTCTTATTTCATCACCAGCCTCAACAGAAATATTCCTGAAGTTGTGCGTTAGCAAAGACTGTAATCCCCCATCCCGAAAGTGCTGAGGAAGAACATGCCACTGTATGTATCCATTCCCTTTCTCCACATTCGGTCAACAAAAAATGTTTAAACCATGTGTGACCTCCTGAATTAGTACGACAGCTGTACCACCAACCTGTGCGTAGCCTCGATGATTTCCTCCTCGTACAATCAGGGAACTTTTCCAACATGATAAAAACATAGCCAATACAAACTCAAGTGTCATCATGGAGACAGAAAAAGAACCCCACCACCTATGTCAACTGTTTCCTCGTTTCCAATATATTACAGTGCTCTATAAAAAGATTTCCAACTTTTCTCTTCTTCTTTTGTCTTCTTAAAGCATTTAAACGATACAAGACTAAAAGATGTCTGGAAATATGCCTTATACAAAAATGATTTCTTTTTTCCCCTTAATCTTAAAACAACATTCAAAAAGGCACTTCATTATGGAAGAAATAAAGTTCAGAGTCAGCTCAACTGCTCCATAAGCGGGGGTGGGAGTGGAAGGAGGGGGGTGTCAAAATGGTCTGCATAGCAGGGCGGGACGAGTAGGAAAGGGGATAAGTCGACTTGCTGAAACAACATCAAGCTTTTAAATTTTTTTTTTTGGCATGTTTTAAGAAAAAAAGCTGATTCTGAAAAACGCGTCCGTTTATGAAATTCATTAAAACAGTCCCATTCAAAATAGCTTCTTTAATTATTATTTTTTTTTAAAAAAGTAGTCCTATCACCTTACGGCATCAGTATTCCCAAAGACCGAGTAGCGTCCACCCATAATTGTCCTTCACGTACAGCATGTTGAGAGGAAGATCCGAGAGCAGCACGGCTCTCTGACGGGAGCGGCTTCCTTGAAGCTGAGTTGACTCTCGTGTGTGTCCCCCGGGGGCGGCTGCAGCGGGTCCGGTTGGATTGGCTACCTGTTGCAAAGTTTATGAAGCATAGTATAGACTTCTTCCTCTTTGCTTAGTCCTTCGAAGAAGGGAATAAGGTCTAGCAATTCCGTGTCTGTCATGTCGTCGAACCAGGACTGCACAGGCACCTGAAGCCAAAACAGAAATACAAGGGCGTGCCTTTGTCACAGAAATCTCTTCGTTAGGAAGAGAAGAGTCGATACACGGGTTGCTAATGTGGATCTTAGTTAGACAGGGTTATGGACGCAACGAACATGAGATTAAGCAAACCCCGGAACGTGACGGAAGACGGGAGGGGCCTGGCGTGATGTGGTCCATGGGGTCGCGAAGAGTTTGACTCGACTGTGCGACTGAACAACAACAACAAATGTGGATCTTATCTCTGGTGCTTCAGTTGGTGGGTAATGGTCCACCATCAAGCCTGTTCATTCAAGCTCAACAAACTAAGGCTACAAGATGTTATTTTTGTACCCTATCCTCCCCCTCTCAGTAAGATTTCATTCACCGGTCTAAGAACTAACCATTTGGTGATGATCTCTATAGTTTCTGTTGAGCAGTTGGTGCCTTATGTAAGGCAAACCAGATGCCCCATGATTTCAGCAATGTCTACCGAATTCTGAAAATTCCAGATCTCATTCAAGCAAGAATACGAACTCACTTGAGGACAGCATGTTTTGAAATACTGAATACCTATAAATGCAAGTAATGAATCTGTTTCACCCACCTTCAGTCCTCACCAGGGTTCCCTCTAAGCTGAGCTAGTGTGAGCTAGCTCACAGTGTTTTAGCCTCTGGCTCGCACATTTTCGTCTTCGCTCAGGAAGGAGGGCTCCAGAGCAAACTATTTTATGCAGCAGCCAAATCGCTGGCTCACAGCTTTAACACCAGTAGCTCGCAAAGTAGAATCTTTGCTGCAAAGACTCCACAGATTAGAGGGAGCATTGGTCCTCACGCCTTCATGTTTTAAGGGTATTTTATTTACTGTATTTACATCCTGCATTTCGCCCCAGCAGGGAACCAAAGGGGCTCCTCCATTTTATCCTCACAACAACCCTGCGAGGTGGGTTAGGCTGAGCGTGTGTGGACTGGCCCAAGGTCCTCCCAGCAAGCTTCCATGGCAGAGTAGGGATTCGAACCTGGGTCTCCCAGATCCCAGTCCGACACTTTAACCGCTACACCAACCAATGCAACAACTGGGGCACATCCAAGAAAAAGCCCAGGCCACAGACAGTTAAGAAAATCCAGGTCTGCCTTTTACTGGCCAGGTTGCTGGAGAAACCAAGAACGAGGATTCCCTTTCTTCCAAGTGTGATACTGTGCATAAGGCCCTGGATGCCTCCCTTTTACCCCACCCTTTTCTCAATGGTGCAGAGTTGTTTTCTGTAGCCCCAGGAGGTCGGACCAGAACCAATGGGTTGAAATTAAATCAGAGGAGTTGTCAGCGAAACATCAGGAAGAACTTCCCGGCAGAGGGGTTCCTCAGTGGAGCAGGCTTCCTCGGGAGGTGGTGGGCTCTCCTTCTCTGGAGGTTTTCAAGCAGAGGCTCGATGGCCATCTGACAGCAATGCTGATTGTGTGAACTTAGGCAGATCAGGAGAAGGGAGGGCAGGAAGGGTTGCATCAGTGCTTAGTTCACAGGGGGTGTGGGAGGGGAGGGATTTGTGAATTTCCTGCATTGTGCAGGGGGTTGGACTAGATGACTCTGGAGGTC